AAAATTCATACCATCAATCTAGAACTCTGGCTTTGAAGAACACAGTGGGGATAAAAGTTTCTATTGCACTTTTTTTTTTTGAAGTAATTTTTTTTTTTAAAGCATGAAAGTAGCAATGGATGCAATAGACAAAACAGGAAAAAAAATATTTTGCAAAAAAAAATATAGGTAAAAAAGGATACGATTTTTTCCTTGATTTAAATAGTATTTTGAAAAAAAACCCGTTTTAAACGAGTGTATGAAAATTACACGATTTTTTGCCGACCTTTTCAAAAAGTCGCCGTTTAAAACTGTTTCCATAAAAATGCCGAATTTTTGAAAAAATCATCGATTAAAAGGCGATTTGCTAACTATGAGTGTGACTAGTGTCCATTTTCAAATTAATGACAGGAAAAGGACATGTCCTAGCAAAGCATGAGAAATTTCTGTCCACGTGAGAGGCTTTCCTTAATAATACGAGGAACCAACATATAACTTTTTGTTGGAGACTTGAGTGAACATAGTTATGAATGATAACAATAAGGCCCCACCTGCCAGAAATAAAAACATAAATCTTGTGGGGTATATATGTCAAAATCTTCGTCATGCACAGGCTATAGAAGATAAGCGTTTGTTCTTAAGAGAGAAAATACTAGTGTAATCACATTTAATCCCCCTCCCCCGCCCCTAATTTTAAGTCTTGACTATTTCTATTACTGTAATAAAATGTTTACGAAACATGATAGTGACTCACACGACTGGGCACAACCATTGAGACCATATCCAAAAATAGGCACTTGAGAAAAAAAAGTCAAAAGCCCAAAAAACCCCAAAACTGCGGAACCAAGCTAAGAAAGTCGCTGGTGACTCGTGAAATAGCTCCTTTTGCGAGCGCATCCGTGCTATAGATGGCCCCTTGCACCAAAAGTCAAAAGCAGATGCGAACATGCCTGTAAAAAAAGAAAACTTGCTCAAAGATGCATTCAAGACGCCATGGGCAGGTGGAGGCACCTGAGGCTCATGTAATGACGCTTTTTGAGTCTCCTTCTACGACCAAAGAGTCCCCCTATATTGCTTGTATTTCTCAATGCCCTCTAGAAGCGCCATCCACCATCGCTGAGGCAGCATAGCCAATGTAAATGGAAAACAAGAGGAGGACATTGCGGTTATGGTCTTTGAAGAGGGCTCCAAAACCCACGGGACCTTTGTTACCCAGGAAGCAAACATCAAAATCCGGTTTGTTTCCAAGGGCCTCCAAAGGGAAGAGCTGGGGATACGGGCAGGCCTGGTTCCTAAAATGGTATGCCAGCTGCTAAGGAAATCAGTGGTTGTTAAGCCTCATATTCCCGAAGTATCACCATGGTTTCGATGCAGTTGTTGAGGGCCTTGGGATTGGACTCCCTCACATCAAAGGTTCTAGCATTTCTTCTGGCCCATGGTTGCTGCCACTGACGCACACCACAGAAAAAAACACGCTGCCAAGTAGGGAGGCAAGTAGAAGGCTTGACAGAGTTAAACAGTTGATTGGGGTACCACCAGTTGCCACCTGAAGCTTTGTAGCACCCTGCCCATAAAGTTTTAGCCACCTCACAGTGCAAGAAGAGATGAGCATTTGTTTCCTCTGCTCATCTACATATAGGGCATCTATTTGGTATGGGAATACCCCTTCAGTGTAGCTGTTCCATGGTGAGCGCCTTCTTGAGGATTGCAACCCACCAAAATGTTTAGATTTTTGGCAGGATTGAGTTCAGCCAATCTCTTCTAGCCAAGGTAATAGCAATCCAGCAAAAGGTTCGGACTTTTGGAAGGCTTGAGCTCAGCCAAGCTCTTCTAGCGAAAGTAAAATGGTTGGAAGGAGGGGTGCGGATTGGTGCAGAAGGACATAGAAGGAGGTGAACAAGGAGCCTGAAGAAGATGGTGACCAAATAATTCTATCTGGTCCCAATGTAGGGAGATGAATTCTGAAGGAGGCAGAGAGTGAGGTGAAATCGGTAAGTTCATGGTCTTGTAGTACTAAAAATTGGGCTCTAGACTCTGGTCTCCCCTAAAGTCGCAAAAAGCGTGCTTACTGGTTGCTCCGGATAAAGCTAACAAGAAGAGGGACGGGTATCGTTCTTCTAAACAGATACCACCGATCCAAATGTTGTGACAAAATCTGACTATCCCTCCCTCCATAGAGCTAAACTGGACATTCGGCTTGAAGTGGTTAAGGCTAGTCATGATGGAACGCCAAACACCCGAGGGTCTGGGGGTTGTTTGGGTTGTGGGCCGCCATGCAGAGGGTCTATATGGTACTTTTGCCTTATGAGCATCTGCCAGAGGTTGGTTGGGCTGAGTGGCAAAGCGCTGCCACCACTTCCCCAGAAGAGCTGCATTACAAGTTTGAGGTTAAGAATGCCAGTTATCCCTTGTGTGTGGACAGGGTGACAGTTTTCCAAGCAACCAGGTGGATGTGATGGTGATCATCTAAGACCGGCAGAGGAAATTCCTCATGAGCTTCTCTAGAGGACGGGCTATGGAGGCACTGGGAGATTGGATAAGGTGGTCTTGATGAGGGTGATGTGACCAGCAATAGGAAGGAACCTACCCTTCCAAGCAACGAGTTTATGGCCATACCTTTCTATAATAGGGGCCATTGATGCTTTCTGTGTTTACCAATCAACAACGAACACCAAGGTATTTAGAGAGATGGGTTTCTGCTGCCCAGGTGGATTGGTGGTCTGAAGCGACCCCCATCAATTTGGATTTGGCCAGGTTTACCTTGAAACCAGTGGCCAGCTCTAGGCATTTAAGGTACAGCCACAGAGTATCCATCTGCTGTTGTTAGGCACCACAGAAGTTCAGAGTGCCATCAGCATACTGTATGTATGATATCTGTGGTCCTTGGTTTGTGACTTTGAAGCCATCGAGTAGGCCGTTTTGGTATAGCCATTTCATGGATCTACTTAAGACCACCACCAGAGCTAAGAGAAACAGGAACAGGGGGTCTCCTTGATGAAGGCCCCTTGAGGAAGGAAAGAAACCTTTAGGGCCTCCAACGATTAGGACTGAGAAGTAAGGACCAGATATGCAACCTTTGATCCAAAGCCTCCATTTGGACCCGAAACCCATTTTGGACAAAACTTCGTCTAGTATTGCCCACTCCATGTGGTCATGAGCTTTCTCGAAGCTTGACCACCACCCCTGGGATTTCAGCTAGATGTCTACAGTGTATGCACTCATGCGCTCGCAGTGTTCCATCTAGGGACTGTCTATCTTTTACAAACACCCCTTGGTATGGTGAAATAAGTTAAGGACCTCTTTGAGACAGGAGACAAGAACTTTGCCAAGATCCTCTAGGAGCTATTCAAGAGGCTTATAGGTCTAACATCTTTAATGTTTTGGGCTCCCATAACTTTGGGAACCAGGGCCAGGAAGGTGGAATTATGGCCTTATGGATTCCTAACTCGCTCGTGTAACTCATTGAAAAAGTTTAGAAATTCAAGAGAAACTGGGGGTGAGTGAGTGAATGAGAGACAGAGAGAGCCTCAAACATATCAAGAGGCGCCAATAAATATGATTCATTAGTAATGGGAAATCTAGCTCACAGGAAACTTAAAACCTGACTAAATTTCAAAATTATGAAAATTATTCACATCAAGTGGTCAAACCGGAAGCCATTGTCAATGATAGTGTCTGTGTGTATTTTCACTGATTTTTATCTAAATCTATGATATATCAATATATGTCCGTAAGAAAATGAGTTCATGTGCTCACACATATGTGATCAAATAGACTGATTCTCTAATTTTAGCCATCTTCTTAAACAAATAAGAGTTCAGAGTTTTCATTCTGATAATCTAGAATACAAATAAGAAATGATAGATCTGCATGACACCTAATGACAAAACTAATCAACAAATTAGAAATCCGAATAGGTGGAAGCAATTTAAAAAAAATTGATTATCCTTTGTACAAAATGTACAAAGTATTTCCAATTTAAAACAAATTAGAAATCAGAGCATATGAACTAACCCATAACTGCTTATTCTTTGTACCAAATGTAGCTCCATAGAACCAAAATTATTTCAAAGTAGAAAGCAAGTACAAGAAAACTACAAAGTCAGAGCACACCGCATATATAACTGAGGGAGCTAATACAATGCTGTGATACAGCATTTGCATAATGCACTATATCTTTTATTGTTCCCTCCTGATTCAGAAGCATTTGAAGCGATCCAGTGGGTCCCACCCACGTCCTATCCAGAAAGAGTGTGGTTCACCAGCCCACTCCTGGTGCTTTTCATATGAAGTGGGCAGCAAAGATGTGGCATATTATGAATTTTGCATTCCGGATAACAGTATAACGTACAAACCCTCAAGTTTTTTAAAGAAAGACTTACATAAAATTCAACGCAGCAAATTAAAAAAAGAAAAGCTCATGCCACAAGAACGTACAATGATAGCTGGCCCATTATCATCATGCAGTTCTAACCTCATAGAGGTTGTCCATGCATATGTTTCTTTGTATGCTTTGCAAACTAAGGCAAGTTTCTCTATTGACAATTTTTACTATTCTATGAAAACTTAGATGTTCTATACAGCAGAGTAGTATAGTACCATAGAAGTTTTAACTGTCCAACGAAACCCAGAAAAAATCATATGCAAGAACCAAAGCCATCTCAATTAATGAACAACAGAAATGGCTTTGAGGTCAAAATTCACAAAATAAATCTGAACTGATAGTACTATAAGCTTTGCATGATATCTTGGAAAACTTTTAGGACTCTCACGGAATCCACTCCCAATATTTAAAAGTAAGAACACAAATAAAATAAAGCAAACAATATTTTAACATGTTTCAAACAAGAGAATGAATTACACGTATATGGATTCAATCATCCAGAGTCTCAAAAGACAAGAAATATAGTGTATGTTAAATCACCAGAATTCGTTGCTTAATTTTACCATTTTAAGTTGACAAATATAATCCTAAGCTAATTACCGTGAATCACATGCTTCCGATATGTTAAAAAACCTACTTAAAAGGAGTATCCCCTGGATTTCTCTGGCGTGTGACATTTTCAAGATGCCTCCCATTTTTCGCCACAAAACTTGCAAGTTTGTCGGCAACCTTCTTTACCTCAGGATCACTTGGTGGAGAGGGTACTGCATGTAACTTACAGAATTGATTAATACCTAGAGAATGAGAAAGAAAACAACAACTTTGAAACAGAATCACAAAAGTAGAGTAAAACCTTGTTACTGATATTACATCAATAACAGCCTTCAACCGTGTCATGTTTTTATTAACGAAACAACAGCATTCATAGACATCTGTGAATAGTCATTACAAGGGTTCAGGGCTGGACTGACAGAGTAGGAGAAAGTTTGAACTACCAGAGGCTGAATCTCAAAGGAAAATGTAGGGCAAAGAGCTTACTATGATAAGTTACTATATCAGTTGTTCACAAGAGAATGAATTAAAAGATTGTGATTGGTAAAGATTAACTTTCCCAAGGGCTGTTGATGAGGCAGACTTGGTAAGAACACCAGTGCATCACTGATTTTTTATTTGTGTATTGATTCAATGCAACTGAATCATTGTACCTCAGAATTCATAACATCTTTCTTTCCTCTGATCCTACTCCAAATACTTTCCCACGAGCATGATAGCTTAGCATTCACAATGCACAGCACATAACCCAATAAGGTATGGGTACGATACGTTCAATCAATCACTTGAAATAAATATTTCTCAACAACAAATTCACTTCAAGCAAGTAATCCATTAAGCCCTAAACTACCAAAGATCCCACACATTACTCGGATTTATATGCTACAAATGAACCAATAAAATATCAGGAGTATCGATGAGATTGCGTCTGAAAACACTATGAGAATATTTTCCTTTTTTTAATATCTTTTGGATTTTCTTTGTTTGCTTTTTTTTTTGGTTAAGGGGGGCTATGGGGGGAGGATGGGGGCATCTAGTATCTGGGTTTTGAACCTTGATAACTTGGGTAGCTGCCAGCACATCCTAACTACTAACTATGAAACAAACCCGCAAAACCAACATTCAATTAAATCCCAAAAGGGATAGCAAAAGCCAGGACCCGATCCCTGCTATAAGCCTTTTTTAATTGTTTTCACAAGAATCTGTCAGAACTTGCAAATCAGACATCACTAACACACCTAACCTTATGTTATGTCAATAGAGTAATGTGAACAAAGATGACCCCCATAGGAAAATAGAACCAATTTTCTTCTAGGAGTGTCTTCTAAGACTAGATAATCCCTTAGTAAGACAAGCCAGGCTGCATGACTGATAAACCATCAACTTAAAGCTAACCAACATTTACTAAAAGGATATCAAAACTTCTTTATATATATATAATAGTTCATTCAAGTAACTTAAGATTCCCCAAGGATCGCAAACAAGAGTCTCAATATTCCCATTGACAGTTTCCTTGCATCATGTAGATCATATGTGACATACAGAGCACTCTCAAGAAAGCAAACAAGTCAACCTTTAGCAAATATTTGACTATTCAGTTGACAATGAACATGAATAAGAATGCTTACTAATAGAAAATGTAACCATGACTAACAAATCCGATGGAAAACTCAATAATAAAATTTCTTAACAGGTTGTCAAAAGAAACCACCACTTACCAAACTCCCCTCGATCTAATGACATTGAGGATGCAATGGAATTATCCAATTTCGGCTTCTTAGAAGACCCATCGCTATGCCCAGTTTCATCGTCATCTTCATCATCTACACCCAACTTAGAGGCAACAACAAGCTTTGGCTTCTGCTTTAAACTAAAGGCCAATTTTCCACCTGGATTCTGAGAATTAAGAATAGGCCTCCTTGCATCATTTGAACCAGTATCAACCTTCTTGCTCATAACAATGTTGGTCATATTGTTCTTGGGTAAACCTGAAAAGGTGGGTGGCTTCACACTTTCAGCTGACGCAGATCCTTGCTTATCCAATTGAGCCTGCTGAAGCTGTTTGAACCTTTCCATGAAAGAACCATCATTTACAAACAATTTCGGATCACCAGGTTTATCCATAGTTGTCACGTTTACGTAATCCTTCTCCAAACACTGGAGAGTTAACAAGTGCCAAGTAATTTTCTAAATAACTTGAAGTGCCTATAACGCAATCTCTATCAATCACTTCAAATGAGTAACTGCAATCAATCCAGCGGGAATGAACAGGATGTTGTAGGATAACCCTGCGTGCATTAAATCATGAATCAGATTGCAATTGCATCTTGTAAATCATAATGACATGTGGCACACAGAGAGAGAAAGAGAGAGAGACTTGTAAACCACAACACTCTAAACAAGTGCAGAGAGAGCGAGAGACGAGATGGAACATTTTTACATGCTCTGAGAAATTAATGAGTATTTCAAATCAGTAAAAATTGGCCAACTTTCTACGTAATAAAGCAGATAAATCTAACACAAAATCCCTCCAAGAAGGCTCATATATCTCTAAAGCAAAGTTCCATTTGAAAAGATAAACGGAAAGAGCAACCAAAAGTTATACAGAAAGACCAACCACTGAAACAACATCAGTACACAGCAAAAAGAATTAAAATGAGAAAAATACAAGAACAGCTAAACATAAAAACATTAATAGAAACAAGCAATATATGATACTCTTCTCATTCAAAAAATATATATAATAAGATAAGGATCTGAAGACAAGCCAACAAGTGCTAAACAAAGTACAGAAAAGAGAGGTAATAATGATTGCATATATTACCAAAAGTACAAATTATTTTTAATTTAAATTCAACTAACAGGTCAGAAAGCAAACGCACAAAACATGCAATTATCACACTCATTGTACTCTCGATTGCTTCTTAATTCAAACTACTACTCAAATCTCCAAATAAATTGTTTTTGTTCCATTACAATTCATCGAGAGGCTGCTTACGTCAAAATAATTCAACCATCAAAAGAATTCAAACAAAGGCTGGCTACATAATTTCCAATCTGGGATTTCCCAATTATTATCGATCCAAAAGCTTGCCACCACTCCCTCAATCTACAAATCCATGGTTAGAATCCAATTTGAGATTTTTTACAGCACAACCTAGGCTCTCTGACTTAGCAAATCAATATAGGCACACTCTTCATTGCAAATCCAATCTAGCCTTGACGCATTCATCCTATCCAGGGTTTATAAGAACCTTGGGATTGAAGCATCACAATCTAGTTCCAATTTATTCACTTTCAATCTAGGTATTGCAATACATCCTGGTATCATCACAGTGCTTTCATTCCATGGTTCATGGCATTACAATACAGCAATGCTTCTGGAATCTCTTCTAAACTAGGGTTTCTGGGAAATTAATCAAATCCACCCATGGTTTCTCAAATCACACAATAGCGTTACAACGTAGTTAGATACAAGACCACGCATATTCAAGACATTTCAGCAATTCGGGTTTGCACATCTCAATCGAAAGTCGCAAACTCAGCACAAAACATTAAAAAATAAATGAAATTGCAGTGACATAATTTACAGAGAGAAATCGACCAAAGAAAGAAACCCTAACCTTCGATAAGACAATGAAACCCTGAAGAGAGAGAGAGAGAGAGAGAGCGCAGCGATCGCACCTGGAAAAAATTCCTCTAATCCTGTAAAAATTGCAGCCCCACCTGTTTGATAAATATATATATATATATATATATAGATATATAATGGCTCTCTAGAGAGCCTTTTGGAGTTTTGACCGTCAGGATCTTACGTACGCATTGTAAGTAAACGGTGAGGATTCCTCGTTGTAGAGGGCTTCTACAGTGGTCTCACGAGATCATATTATAAAGGTCGTCTCCAATTCCAAAGGCATGCACTAGGGGATATATTTATGTGAACATAAAAATATTATTTTTGAGCAATAAAATAATTCCAACAACGGCAAAATTTATAGCGAAGTCTCTATTTTACCAAAGGTGTTTGGCTTGGTCTGGTGCTTGAAGTGTCGGACCTCATACTCCTAATTTGGTTGCAACTTGGTTGCAACACTTGAAAGTGTTAAACCAAAACATCTTGTAAAAGTCGGTACTTGAAGTACCGATGTATCATGCTAACCAATCTCTAAATGCCAAACCAATGACCTAATCTCTAGAAAGATTTTCCCTTAGAGTCTAACCTCTTTCTTTTTACTTAGTCGGTTATGCATTTTTAAGTCCCAAATCAAGATGTCGTTTAAGAAGTCAGTCCAACATTTCGAGTGTCATACTGTTTTCTCAAAAAAAATTTGATTTGCCACGGTTTTGACACTCAAATGACCAGCCCTACCAACCATCGATACCAAGGTTAGATTGAACCATTTATATCTACCCAACTAGTCCTATTTGGTCTTAAAAATCCAACTTAGGAACTATATCATTTTGGGAAAGAAAATAAATGGCAAAGATAAAACCTCAAAATTTATAAATATTGGGATAATTTTTCATCCCAAATAAAATAGTTTTTCTTCAATTGCCTTTCTAATGTTATAATTTTTGAATAGATCCAACCCATGAAATTTTCCCAAAAATAAAAAATAAATCTAAAAAATGAGTTTTTAAAGCCCTACTCTCTATCATTACTTGGTGCTAAGAGGACGCTCAAAGTCACCTTAGGATGCAACTTAGTTTAAGATTTTTTTTTTTAGCTTCCAATCAAGTTCTTTTAATTGATCCTAGAGATGAAAAAAATGAAGTAGAAACTATCATAAATCTATCGATAAAAATGTATTGGCCATGGTGATATTTTGCGACCACCAAATCTATCTTTTTCCCTTTCTTTCAGCCACGTGTAAGTTTCTGGGTCGCAATGTGATATTTATGAGCACATGGGAATTGTGGTGGGGGGCAACGGGTAAGGTTGGGTCTGAGTCCGGGTCTCAAAAAAATGACATAGGATCTAAACCCATAACCAAACCCAAAAAATATAGTAACAGACTCAGATCTGAACATTAATTAGGACTCGAAAAACATTACCAGGCCTTGGCCTTGGCCTTAACATAGATCCGACCTATCAAATTCAATTTTTTTTACCCATACTTGGACCTGAATCGGGTCTCCCCCTCGCATCCCGGATAAGGTCAGGGTCCATTGCAACCCCTGCTTGCAAGCCTTTTTTTTACCCATACTTGGACCTGAATCGGATCTCCCCTCGCATCCTGGATCAGGTCAGGGTCCATTGCAAGCCCATCCACGAGACGAGCGTTACCATGACAAAGGACAAAGGGGAGCGTTACTATGACAAAGGCGCATTGACCGGACGAAGGGGATAATATCAACTGTCCATTGTAAACAATGGGCGGATGAGTTTACAGCTTCTAAACCACAGTAAAATCGTGAACTACGGTGCCTAACTGTGTTTTCGCTGTTCGTGTATTTTACACCGTCTCAGCAAATCACATGTTCTTTTTTTTTTTTTGTACTGGGTCAGTGTTTTGAAAATCAGCAAGTCGACACAAAATCAGAATCAAATCAAAATCAAAACCAAAAGGCTAAAAAAATATAACAAAAACATAATTTGCTCGAGCACCTCAATGTTCTATTTTTTAAAATTCTTGTTAACTGTAGCGGTGTCTGATAAAACGAATCACAATCAAACAGCTAACAATGATGGGCCCGATTCCAATTTTTACAACAAAGAAAGACTGACTATACATTATTACAGGGGAAGAGTTCATATAAAGTTGAAGCATTTTATCATTGAAGTGAGGTGCATTTTAAAAATCCTCTAGAAAAATTGTAATTTGACATTGGAAAACCTCCAATCGATCATCTTGACCTCATGATGTACGAATATGAAACACAAAAAAGTATTCCAAGTCCTTAAAAAAAGGCACCTCGTAACTAGTTAAGTTGACCCTCTATTTTCAAGTATTTATTGATCGGCTTGATCTACACACTTTTAAAGTTTTAAATCTTGTAACTAAGGATAAAAATAAATATTCAAGATTTCTGATAACGAAATTACATGTCCAAACAACATTAGAGGGACACGGTAAACCTTACTGCTACGAGTATAAGAAGGGCACCTTATATAAACCTCTATCAGATCATTGTTTAGCATTCAGATGTGGTAACATTCATAGAGAGGAAAAAAAAAAAAGGTGATGAGTTGATCCCGTTTTTGGAAATTTGAGGTTAATAAGTGAGTTATTAACCTCTTCTACAATCAGTGACCTTAACCTCACCCTCTTAAAAATCCACATGTTTCTTTAATGTGGCTCTGATGCAAAGAAATAATAACACCATGAAAATAAAATGTCTCTTTAATGCAGCTCTGATGCAAAGAAATAATAACACCATACAAATAAAATGTCTTTTTAATGCAGCTCTCATGCAAAGAAATAATAACACCATAAAAATAAAATGAAAAGGTTGAAAGAATATACCCAAGGTCGGCAAGAGAATCCACCGACTCTCAAGGTCTGAGAGGGAATCCACTCCAAAACTCTCTTCACAAGATCAAATTTTATTACCTCATCCACTTTTTTTACAATGAAAGGTACCCTCCATTTAAATAGACTAAAAAAATAAGATAAACATTAACAAAAAAAAACTCTCTCTACACTTTTAGTATTTTATCTCTTCTTCCCTATTTTCTCTCTTAAAATCACGTGGTAATTTTTTTCGATCTTCTCTCTCTTTAATTCACGTGTCAAAATATAAGTTCGTTTATATCCCACGTTTTACCCAAAATTCTCCCAAACTTTGATTATTGATGATAAGGATAAACTCTCTCTAAACTTAACTTTATATTATTTATATTCCTAAACTAACTCCTCTAATTTAATTTTATCTATTTATATTTCAAACTAACTAACCAAAATCCATAAATATCAACTCACGTACAAACTCTTGCGTACCTTTTAAAATAAAAAGATAAACTCAAAAAAATAATAATAATAAATTACTATTTTTTTTTCTTGCGTACCTTTTAAAATTAAAAGATAAACTCAAAAAAATAATAATAATAAATTATTATGTTTTTTTTCCACTCTCTGAACTTAACGCCTCTCTTTTCTCTCTCTCTAAATTAGTATGCGTGAAACTTCTCTCTCTCTTCTCTCTCACTCTTTCTCATCCCCAGTTATTCTACGTAAAGGGTTAGTAATTGTCACACAATACCGCAGTATGGATAGAGTGAATCCGAACGTCAAAACTCAACTAGAAACTGCAGATTTCAGCACCAGAAAATCTTATGGCAACTCGGAAATTTGTCGGCAACCTTTACTATGAAGCTCTAAAGATGGTAGAGATGCTAAAGATAAAATAAAATAAAAAGTACATATCTTTTATGCTATAAACACTTGAAAATGAACATTCCAAAAAATATTTATTACAAGATATATAGTATTTTTAAGGCTTATGACCAGTCATTATGCACAATTTGAGGGTCTTCGGGCATCGAACATTGTAATTTCCAGAGATTTGAGTCGTAACTTTAAAAAGTTGCAGCTATGCAAATATGCATTCAAATCCATTTGCATTTAACCAACAATAGGAATGGCAATGAACCTGGGACAAATCGGGTCCCAAGGTCCATGTAGACCCAACATAAATAGTGTTAATATTTAAATAGTATTTAACATATAATATTTAAATAAATAGAACTATATTTTTAAATTATAATATTTAAATTATTCAAGTAATAGTATTTACTAATAATATTTAAATAAATAGAACTATATTTTTTACTTATAATATTTAAATGGTACAAGTACATATGATTTTTAAAACAATGTTAATACATTTAAGCATGATTTTTTATTTTTGGGTCGAGTCCAATCAAGTTTGGGACCAAGTCCAGTCGGTCTGCATTCAGGTCCTATAACTTCGGGTCTAGGGTCCTAGAAGGGGAGCCAATCCCGACCAGTTGCCACCCCTAACCAACAAAAAGTTTACATCAAGGAGAGACTGGTTCGTATTTACAATTCCAATGCATAAGATTCCATGAAAGCAACAAAGCAGTTTTAAGGAGAAAGATCCACATAGAGCATTGGCAACAAATAAGTATGATGATGATGATGCAACTTTGGTTGTGTAAACCATATGATACAAGACCAGAAGATGATATGCAGGAACATATCATGCATTCACTCTCTTTGGTAACCCAACTCCCTTTGCTAAAAATATGGTCAAAAGCGATGTTTAGTACCCAATTAGGGGAGGAATCTGCCCAAACTCATAAGGAAAAAAAAAACCGCATGCACTTATGTGCCCGAGGAAAACTAACATCCTAGCATAGGTCAACTCAAACCGCTCCCATCGTGGTTCAAAGTGATTGGACAAAATTTTAAAAGTGTAAAGAAAAATAATAAGAATCACAAATAATATAAAATATATTACTTAAACAATAAAAAATCAAACCTTGTAGCCACTCCAACCAATCAAAAACCAGTTGGTCTACAATAGTTTTGACTTGCTTTTGTCAACACCTGGTTTTTGCTTTAGGAGTTGGACTGGCCGGTCACTCCATCCTTAACAACAATGATAGAGAACTCTTTTTTTTTTTTCTTACAGTTAGATATTCAAGTGTTTAGAAATTCAAAAACCAATTCTTTTAGGAAAATATTCATGTGGTGATTCTAATGTAATCTAAAAATTTATGGTTGAAAAATCATTCTCAGCAGTTATTTTGGCCGAGGAAGCAATTTCCTATGCATTTAATTGTTTCAGAAAAAAGGTAATTTGCCAACGTATCCTAAATCGAAAACACTTTAGTGGCAAATTTTGATCAATGTATACTGCCATGTTTCACATTTCCACAACTCCATAATATAAAATTTTCCATTGGAGAATCATAATTGTTCAAAAATAACAAAATCTATGCAAAAGAAACAGGGAGCGAATACAACACCATCGCCAGTTGTGTTATCAAAATATATGGAGAATTGACAGGATACAATATTATCCTCCATATGGTATAAAAAAATTTCGGTGCCAAAATTTGGATGAGCAAGCGAGTAATCAATTCTCTTATCTGCAAGCAATGTCGAAGGATGAGAGCAAGATACATTCATGTGAGAGAGAGACAGAGTGAAAGAGTTACCTTATATGATGAGAAAGAATATAAAAGAAACATGTTGAAGATTCAAGATTTGTTGGATTGAATTACTTACATCAATGGAAACTTGTTTTTAGAAATCAATGAAATAAAAACATGGCAAGTCAGATTCAAATTCCCTCTACTCACTTGGACTCAGCAAGCTGTTGAATTTGGAATCAAAACCACGAGAACATGCCAAATCACACCAGTCCTCAATATTTTATTATAAAATTTTAGAGAATTTATCAAATTATTGATGAGAGATGAACCCCTTGCTCCTTTCTCCAAAAGACAAGAAGGGATACAAATCGAAATAAACATTCGAGAAAATTTAGGTGTAGCACCAATAGGCGATAAGATGAGAGAGAGTTCACTTAGGTGTCGGGGCATTTGATGTCACAAACTTAGAAAAACACCTGTTAGGAGGTGCGAGTTAGTTCAAATGGAAGGCTACAAAATGACAAGGGGTAGACCCAAAAGGATATGGTTGGAAATTGTGAGAAAAGATCTGCAGACTTATGACCATACTGAGGGTATGACCCTTGATAGAGTATAATGGCAGACCAGGATTCGTGTAGCCGACACTAATAGCTGGGAAGAGGCTCTAATGATGATGATGATTTTGTTCTTGTATTTTTATTATTAGTTTATGTTTGGATTTATGCTCCATATTCCACAATGAGTTTTTGTTTATGTAACCCAATCTTGGCTATGATTAACAGATAACCCAATCTTTTAATCTTTCTATTTGACTTTTAGGCTCTAAGTAATTCAATGTCCAGTTCAAATTCGATATATGTATGAAATACGATGTATCGGGGACATAGATAATGTGTTCTATTTGTATTTCTAAAAAACTATTGTTTCTAAGATCAATTTGAGGCAACCAAACCCCTCTAAACTTAGGGGCTAGACCCACAAATTTCCTGGACAGCAGCTGGTAAACTGGGCACCTGCCCAATCACCTAGGCAGCCGAATCCACATTTTTCAACATTGCTCTAAGTCGAGGTTGTGACATGACACAAAAAGTAGAATCGAGCAACAAGAGATAAATATAATTAAAGGTCACGCGGCGTTGATACTTTAAGTTAAGATAGTGACATGCGAGGCCAACTTGTGGATTTACCTTCTTCTCTGATGGGTAAAAGTCACGCATTTTACATGGTACCTTTAGGATGAATCTATTCTTGACATGCAGCTCCATAGAGTTCATGAGCATACAAATGGCCAATAATAATAATTTCCATATAACATGGAGCATTAACTGATGGTTGTGAACTACTTTTATTAGTATGCATAGGCACATTGTCTTTATTCAAGCAACAAATGAAAGAACTTTTCTTTTATGTTGATAACAAACAACCAAACAAATGAACTTATGCCAAATGTATTTACGTGGCATGATAACAGTAACATTCAAAGTTGTCCTTGATTGGAAAATTGTTCCTTCTTAAGAGACCTAGGAACTGTGAGACGATACTAACATCATGGTAGATCCACGAATATAAAACTCTTATCTAAAAAACACTGCTTATTATGTCGTCATCAACCTAGATAAACTTCAGCCAAACTACACCAATTGGGATGATCATAAAGTCAACTACAATAACCGTTACAGGTTCAAAAGAAACAATTAGAGCCTCAAAGTTTCCGATAGGGTTCTCACAATAAAGTCAAAATGGTCTAATTCTTGGTTGAAATGGTTGGCCCGAATAGAATAAATAAAAGAAAACATGAATAAATAGTTTAAACATATAATTTTTACCAACAAAGGTCCAATATTGTTTAGCAGGTCTAACTTAACAAAACCAACTAATCCAACTGGATAAAACTCGTTAAACATTAGCTTTGACCAATTTTTTACCAAACCCGGTTCTTGCTTTGGACTGGAATGACTAAGGCACTGGTCATCCAATCCCTCAGACTGGCCGGTCTAGTCCCATCCTGATAATTATGACCACTAATTCAAACAGTGGTTTGCCCAACGCCTAGGTGGGCTAGTGGGGCCTCAGCACATTGCCCAGGCCTGAGCGGATCAACTAGGCAAATTGCCACTAGGCACCTAGCTAGTACCCTGCTTGGGCAGGCATCCAAGGTGCCTGGACGGGTCGCCTAGGTGCAAAAATACCCATTGTGTGGGGTACTTTTAGTGTTTTTTTTTGTTTGGATTATAAAAAAAACATGAATATGCATTTCTTAGATACAACTCTCGTAATCTTCGTAATCGATCTAAAATAACATCCTATCTTAAACGAATGGTCTTAGATACAACTCTAAGAAATAAGTAGCTAAATAAGAATCCAACATGATGAAAATCAGCCTACTAGGAAACGAGAAATCCTAAGAAACCCTCCTAACATAGTACCCTAGACTCTCTCTTTCTCTCAATCGATATCCTACTCTAGACTCCCTCCCCTAATGGACTCCCTCCCCCAAATAGTCCTCATCTAAATGATTACCGCATTGCCCTACACTTAATGCGGCACATTATATAGAATAGATTGTGAAAATAAAAGTATGTAAGGAAATATATCATATGACATGTAGACATGTCCATAAAACGTGAGCCCATCAAGTCCATAAAAAGTGAGCCCTGCAAACTCCCCTCAAGCTAGTGCAGATACATATCCCCATGCTTGACTTCACATCTCTTAGGGTGCATTGTGTTATTTTTCTCCGGCATTTCAGCAATAGCATTTAAAATTGGGACGTCATGTTGCCATTTAAGCTTAAACCCATCACTTGGTTTCTGCAAATGGATGGCAAGCATGTCTACTAATTGATGTACAGAAGTAACAAAAGGAATTTAAATTTATTGGGATCTATCTTCCCCGGATAAAATTGAAATCTACCTTTATTACTTTTTCTTCTCATGAAAAGCCAAATTGAAAAGCAATAATGGTTGCTTGCCTATCATGGAAATATAGAACATTATGGTGCAAACTCCACAACCAACAAATCTTCAATCATATTAGCTTACAGACTATATGAGCTAGTTATGCACTCATAGTTGTTTACAGCCATTCAAGGTCAACTCCCAATCGATGTTTTAAACATAGGGGACATTGATGCATAGGCAGCATCAAACTAAGGGTTTCATTAATAGGCCAGATGAGCTAGTTGTGCACCCAAACCCAAGTGTTTCTAGCCATTCCAGGTCAACTCCAGCCTCTTTTAGAAAAACAGGGCACATTGATGCCTAAGCAGCGTCAACCAAGGCATCAAGAGGTTCTCAACACCTTCTTTGTGGAGGTGCCTCACCCTAGGAGAGGACCCACTAGATGCCCGCCTAGCTGGCCTAGGCAGCTCCTAAGTGCCATGTGCGACATGATTGGACAAAAAGAGAGAGATAGAGAAAGAGAAAGAGAGAGAGGTTAAATCATTGGAGCTTTCTTTGGTAGCTATCATATCTCCCCCAATTGCTACGATGTTCAAAATTGAATTGTAAAACATTCAATTATGCTGTAATTAGTTTCCTATTCATGAATACACTTTTGGAAACTGCTAGATATACATTGAGAGCACATAACGACTAAATTTTAATAACTGAAATCATCTTTACTAAAACAAGCGGCATCATCTTAATTGGAGAGAGAGAGAGAGGGAGAGATAGAAACGGACAGACAAAGAAATTATGAACTACACCCCAAAAACATTGGGCCGCACAAACACAAGGCACCACCTCCTAGTTGCCTAGCTGGTGCCTTACGAGATTTCATATGCTGCTTCTAACCGATGGGCACAATATCATGATGCAACAATGGTCTCTTAAAGGTCCGAGCCAATCAGCATCTCATCGTCATCGTCGTCAAAGCCTTCACCCACTAATTGGTATTGGCTACACAAATCCTGGTCTGCCATTCTACTCTATTAAGAGCTATAGCCTCAGGGAGGTCTTCCAACCATGTCCTTTTGGGTCTAACCCTTGCCCTTTTTTAGCCTTCCACTTGAACTAACTCGCACGTCCTAACAGGTGTTGTAATGGGTTTGTACCACACATGGCCAGCCCACCTAAGTCTACTCTCTTGCATCTTATTGCCTATTAGTGCCACACCTATATATTACCGAGATTGGAAAATCAAATCAAATCCAAGATTGGGATCAAGATTGCAGTTTTGCGAGAAGTAGGAACCTCCTTGTGGTAGGAATCGCAGTCTGTACACTTTGAAATCTAGAGATCTTGATCCCAATATGTATGGAAGCTCGATTCAAACCTAATCAGGATCTAAGAACATGCTCAATATCACTAAAATTGAGGCCACTGAGAGCCCGACAAGTAGCGTGGTATAGTATATACAACAATACCACCACATATTATATTGTACTATAAGCTACTATTTCTAAATTCAAATTTAATATCTACAATCACATACTTGTTGGAGGGGCGACGGTCCGTTAAACTACCAAAGAAAAAAAAGGGTAAACCAATGCGATCACGACATTGTAGGTGCCTGCGATGGGACTGATGCGACTTTCCTCATAAGTTATGGGTGGCATAGGCCGTTGCAGAAGTCCCCCCCCCCCCCCCTTTTCCTAAGAGCAAGTGGGATCGAGAGAAAGAAAGGACGAGGGGCGACAAGCAATGGCACTTCTCGACCCTGTCTCCGAGGGACAGTTGAACGAGCGACTCAAGAACAGCATTCTTGAGTCGCTCGTTCAACTGTCCCTCAGAGACAGCGTCGGACTAGCCAATAACTTGAACGCGTTCGGTCAGTTTTTGGAGCAAGAACCACAACATTACCTTACCATCACATGGCAGAACACTAAACATTGCTATAACATTACCACATTGTTATACTATATTTCAATGCCAAGGACTTTGGATACCCTATAACTCATGACCATGATCCCTAATAGGAAGGATCAAGATTCCAAAGTTTAAAAATTGCTGAGGAGTGAGATTCCATTCCCTAGAGCATAAGAGTGAATCACGCAGTAGAATCGACCCCTTGCAAGAAAGATCCCAATGACCATAATACGAAATGGTCATGAAACAAGGACATGCCATGTCCTATAGTATCCATGTAAAGCATATTCCTAAAACTGGTGAGAAGAGAACTAACTCCAAAGTAAAGAAATTAAAATCCTTAAAAAAATTTCTCGAAAATAATTATGCGATACGATAAAAGAATTCAGCACCCAATTGCTCAAAATATAATCTTGGGTACGCTATTGCTAAAGGAAGCAACAATAACTCAATGAAGAGAAAATTTGTAGCATAATCTTGCTGAAAAATATCACAACTGCAGGTACCTTGATTGAGTTTTCTAGTGTGGTTCATCAATAACTTCATTGGAATCTTTTTGCTCCATGGCCCTAATAATATACACCTGGATACAAGGGCAAAAACTTTTTAGCGCCAAACAAGAAAATTACCATTTGTGTTAAGTAAATGCTAGTGCTACCCATAAATATTCAAAGACATAATGAGAATCCAGTATGTATTGCGTGAAATAGAATGTGAAAGTTACATTTACAAAAATAGTACACTAAAATTTGTCTACATATCAAGAAGAGACAAATGTATAGCATAAGACATTTAAGACATGAAATCAGGGAACAAATGCTTGTTTTCCACCAAGGCAGATGACGCAATAACCGGAATCGGGCTTGAGCCTGAATTGATAAGGTGTTGACAATTGCAACATTAAGTCCAAAGTGCAAATTCTATAGTAAACTACCCAAAAAAAAGACAAGGGATTCTTGTAGAAAATTAGCTCCTGAGAATCAAGGACACTTAATCATAACTCCAGTTCTCTTATCTCCCAAAGCACCTAAACTACATTATATTGATGCTAAACACATTGCCCATATACGAACACATAAATATAGGTATGCAATTGGGAAAGCATATTTGTGAATTGTATAGGAACATTAATAGAAAACTCTCTCTCTCTCTCTCTCTCTCTCTCTACTCTCTCTCTCTCTACTCTACTCTCTCTCTCTACGTACTACGTACGTACGTCGTACTTACGTACTACTCTCTTCTCTCTCTACGTACTACGTACTACG